AACACAAGCTCTGCTTACCTTGGGACTAGATGGCGTTGTGTCAATTGTCCTGAGATGTTATTATTATTATACAAAGAGTACTCTATTATGTTGATATGTATTCTTTCCAGCCTGACGAAAAAGCTGTGAGATGGAAGAACAAATGTCCGATATGTCTGCAGACTTGGAAGATTCCCACCGTGTTACCAGTCTCTGGGTGAGTACCTCAACTTCACCATATCAAATGACCTGGTGGAAAATGACTGAATCAAACTTGAATTAAATTTTAACACGTTAAAGATGTCGCTCCGCGACGAAAGTAAATTTACACGTTGGGATCGGGCGATCACCCATGGGCACTTTAATTGAAATAATAATTTATTCTAATCTTTAACGCAGTTGAAACCTCTAGTAAAGGTAAGTAGGGTACAGTTAGTAAATAAATAAAAATCGAAACAGCTTCCAAAGCATTCAGCTTGGCGGCTGAAATAGGTAGACTTACAAAATACAATTATATTAAAAACTAGCTGTACTCGCAACTTCGTCCGCGTGGAATTTAACTTTATTTTTCTAAAATAAAAGTAGCCTAAGCTACTCCTTATTACATCAGCTACGTGCCAAAAAAAGTCCCGTCAAAATCGGTCCAGCCATTTCCGTTATACCGCAACAAACAGACGGACGGACAAAAATTGTAAAAAATGTTATTTTGGTGTATGTACCGTATTTATATCCATATGCATGGAGTAAAAAACGGTTACTTAAATATTACAAACGGACACTACAATTTTATTTTTATGTATGTATATATGAATGCAATACATATGTGTTTTCCAGCTACATATTCTGCTACGTGTGCATCTCCCGGCACGTGCGGTCGCGCGGCACGTGTCCCGTCACGCGGTGTCCGGCCGGGGACGGCTCGCTCGTCAGGCTCTACGTCGACTGACTCGCCCCCGCCGCGCTCCCACTCTACTCTGACCGCACTCTGACTGAACTCTGACGGCACTCTGACTCAACTCTGACCGCTCTCTGACTGAACTCTGACAGCACTCTGACTCAACTCTGACCGCTCTCTGACTGAACTCTGACCGCTCTCTGACTCAACTCGGACCGCGCTCTGACTGAACTCTGACCGCGCTCTGACTGAACTCTGACCGCACTCTGACTGAACTCTGTCCGCACTCTGACTGAACTCTAACCGCGCTCTGACTGAACTCGGATCGTACTCTGACTGAACTCTGACCGCACTCTGACTGAACTCTGACCGCACTCTGATTGAACTCTGACTAAACTCTGACCGCACTCTGACTAAACTCTGACCGCACTCTGACTCAACTCTGACCGCGCTCTGACTAAACTCTGACCGCACTCTGACTCAACTCTGACCGCGCTCTAACTGAACTCGGACCGCACTCTAACTGAACTCTGACCGCGCTCTGACTCTGACCGCGCTCTGACTAAACTCTGACCGCACTCTGACTCAACTCTGACCGCGCTCTAACTGAACTCGGACCGCACTCTAACTGAACTCTGACCGCGCTCTGACTGAACTCTGACCGCGCTCTGACTGAACTCTGACCGCACTCTGACTGAACTCTGTCCGCACTCTGACTGAACTCGGACCGCACTCTGACTGAACTCTGACCGCTCTCTGACTCAACTCGGACCGCGCTTTGGCGCCACCTTTACAGAACTCTGACCCACCCTGACCGAACTCTGACCACGTTCAACCCACCCTAACCGAACTCTGACAGCACTCTGACCCCTGTGTCTCTGGTCAGTTATGAGTATGACTCACTGACCTACTTCTAACTTATAAACTTCTGACTGCACATCTTATTACTGAAGTCATCTTAGAGATGCGATTCTTATTCTTCAATAGACACTAGTCACTATTAACATAATTAACATGTTATTTATTCTAAAACCTTTGTTACCTCTACACCACAAATAAATAATTTAAATTTAAATTTGAAATAATGAAAGAGTTATTCAGTAAATATTTTTTTATTGTCACTATTGAGTTTATGATATTCGATGTCCCCATTGGTAGAGCTTTAACACACTATATTACTTTCCGATGGTCACTAATTTGATCCTGACATTGTACAAACATTTTATGAGTGTTGATCCTATACAAACATTTTATGAGTGTGTTTGTTTTATTTTAGTCCGAGTGTTTTTCTATGTGGGTATGTTTTTTTTTATTATAATGGAATGGTGCACCCGCCTGAGCTAACGGTTTACGCTGGCGGAGTACCAGTGGAGGATGATAAGATGAGCATGACGTCAGGTCAGATAGCCCATCGTGACAAATTCACCAGTAATTTATCACGATGGTTTCCAGGGGGAACCGCGAAGTCAACCTGACATGGTACATTGCTAGCAATGAGATCATCAGTCCACATTACTAACAATCCCCATTACCACACTGTGGGTATGTTATGTGTATACAATACGTGTGAATTGTGGTCTATCATTATTAATTACTAGCTGTTACCTGCGTGAAATTAAAATAAATCAAATCTCATTATAACATTTGCCAGTTATTATCAACCAAAACTATAGCCTAAAATAATCTATCTAAATATATATAACTCAAAGGTGACTGACGTAGTGATCTATCAACGCACAGCCCAAACCACTGGACGGATCGGGGTGAAATTTGGCATGCAGGTAGATGTTATGACGTAGGCATCCGCTAAGAAAGGATTTTGATTAATTCTACCCCCAAAGGGATGAAAGTTTGTATGAAACTTTGTCAATTTAAAACCGATCGGGCTGAGACTTTGCACGCATAAAGCTACTATGACGTAGGCATCTCCTAAGAAAGGATTTTGAAAAATTCCACCCCTAAGGGGATAAATTAAGGCGAGCGTAGCCGCGGGCAAAAGCTAGTGTAGGTGTGCTATGCACACACACATACATATTGTTAATACAGAGATTGAATTACATCGCGTGGCACAGCGCACCTACTACACGTCCCTCCCCAGTCAGATATACGATGTACTCCCGTATTGTCGTATCACAATTGTGATAAAATATAAATGTGTTTTCATTTGGTAAAGCTCATGACACCACACCTGAACACGCAATATATATGAATAAGACCTCCACGCGGTTCCCCCTGGAAACCATCGTGTTAAATTCCAGGTGAATTTGTCACGATGGGCTAATTGACCTGACCTCATGCTCATCTTATCATCCTCCACTGGTGCCCCGCCAGCGTAAACCGTTAGCGCAGGCGGGTGCACCATTCCATTATCATCCACAAAAAAAAAATATATGAATAGGAGAACCTTCCATTCATAGTACATAAGCGATACCATAGACCAGTGAAACTAGTATTATATAAGTATCGTGTGTTTCATATGCATTTATGATGTTAACTATTTCTACATATTGTTATTTATTTACTAAGGTGGCGGTAGAGGAGATATTATATAAACTATACATATCATAGTTTGTAAGTTTGTTGTTATATTCTTGTAGATATAGATTTGGAATTTTACAATGTACTGACACTATGTATAAAATTTGTAATAAAAATAAAATAATAAAAAAAAACAATTCATTTGGCAAATATGTTTGTTTTATTAGTACATAAACATATAATTTCTATATAATAATAATAATCTTAGATTCTGCCCCTATTGTACGCCGGTTTCTCTCCCTGGGGCCCCGAACCCCGACTGTGCTCCTGCCGGGGGTAAGTTGCCATCTACTCTCCTTAAGAGGGGAGATGAGAATTTTTGTAAAATATATATTTTTTTTTCACAAAATCATACATAACATAAAGTGCTGCAGAGCCTTTGACGCATGTAAATTTCCGTACAAAAATACAGATATGTATATATGTTATTTGTTTTTTTTATAACTTTATACATATATATATATTTTTTTTTTTTCTTTATTCCAGTCTTAAATACAAGGTTTTAAAAACATGTTAAATTTTTTTCAACGGACACCTTATATACAATAAACATAATAAAATAATAATAATAATACACATACATACATAAATCCAGGCGGACAACACAAAGCAAACATTTACGGCATACTACCATATATAAATAAACATCAAACATAAACTACACTGAAACATGAAATAAACATAAATTCTGGTAACCCTAGTATTACCTTGCATTACCCCGCTTTTGGAGTGCAGACTTTCTGAGTGAGGAGTATTTTTTTTTAATTTACATTGTTAATACAAATAAAACAATAGAAATTGTGGTTATTGTGTTTAATTACAAAAATAACAAGGTAAATAACACTAAACTTACAGTCTAACTTATATCTAAGACAATACCTATTTTTTTTTATACTGCTGGTATATAATAATTATTATTATATACCAGCAGTATAAAAAAAAATAGCTGACCCCCGAACTCCGATCCGCCTCAGAAATAGGAGTTTTGAAGTTTAGTTACGCAATAAATTTCCTTTTTGAGAGTTTGTATGGGAAAATAAAATTTAATGTTGCTATTCTACATACAATTTCTTCATATTTTATCACCATTTAAACTAAAATCTACTTTCTAATACTCTCAAAGTATATTTCTGAACGCACCAAACACATCAATCAAGTGTCATTATAGTGTCATTTTTTGACTGACATGTTTTAAAACTAAATAATAATTTTTCGGTTTTTGAAATCTAAATTTTCCTCGCAATTTTACTATATTCTCTCACCGTTTAAACCTTACCTGGATTTTAGTCCTGAAATATTCCTGGAAGCAGCCGCAGCCCCGGCAACGCGTTGCTGTGGCTAAGGTTCTTGAATAAAATAATATTGCGACTATAAATTGAGATGTAAGCTATCCTATCTTTCAAGTTGGATCAAATTGCACACAATGTGCAAATCAAATTTGCAATCAGTTCAGTAGTTTAGGAGTCCATCGGACAACAACGTGACACGTAATTTTTATATATAGAGATAGTAACAATTCCATCAAATGGGCCATCAGGTTGTCATTTTAATTGCATAAAAAAATGTCACTATGACTAACGCATCTGTAATCAGTCGTGAATCAATATTACAAATACTTAAAGGTATTCTAAATCGGTAACTACCCCCGCGGGTAGGTAGTGGTGAGATAGCTGCCTCCCGTTCTTTGCCACCAGCGCCAACCTCGGCGTCTTCCCTTGGACGAGGATCGCGGTGGGCTGCTCCTCAGGTCCCACGGACGCTGGTGGTGTCTTCGCTAAGAACTGCGCCAGTTCCTCGCGAGAGCTGAACGTATCGCCGCCGTAGGCTATTCTGCCTTCAGGTAGTTTGATGACTTTCCAGGATTCTGTGGTTTCGAAGTACCCGCCTTCGCCCTGTGGATATGTTTTGTGAAATTAATATATATACCTATATTTAGTCGTAATATTACACATACATAAATTGTAAATATATACGCACCCCAATATGCAAAAATTGAACAGAAAACATAAATAAATAGTAATAAAGATAATATGAAAAAAAAATTAAAACAAATGGTTTAATGTCTGTACATATAAGATTTTATGTCTATAGTCACTTGTGTGCGACTATTAAAATTAAAATTTAAAAAAAAATTGCCAATGGTAAAATGGAAAAGGTCGGAAGAGGCCTGTATCCTTAAATGGATACCCAAATAAAAAAGAGAAATTGATAATTGGTGTAATTCTAATAATTATTGCATGCTAATAATGAGTTAACAAAAATATATTTGACGACCTCGGTGGTCTAGTCTACCGCTTTACGACCGATGGTCGCGGGTTCGATTCCTCGCACGGCACAAACATTTGTATTCATGAGTATGATTGTTTGTATCGGTCTGGGTATTTTCTATGTATAATATGTATGTATATACGAAAAAAAAAATTATCTATGTATTTGTATCAGTTGTCTAGGACCCATAACACAAGCTTTAGCTAGCTTAACTTGGGTCTAGATGGCGCTGTGTGAATTGTCCTGAGATTATTATTATTATATAAATAAAGTGAATAAAAATTATCGGAATAATATAAGTTAAATAGTAATATAATTAAAGAAATGCATGTAATATCATTATTTTGGAAAATAAAAGGCTTTTTTATTTTATTTTATTTATTATTATATTTAGTCGAGGATGTGACATACCTGGTATTTCAGGCGTCCATAAGCTACGACAACCATTTACCATCCGATGGGCCGTATGTTTGTTTGCCACAATCGTCGTATAAAAAAAAAGAAGAGAAAGACCGCGCGCGCAAGTCCTTACAATTCCAAAAAAAACCCCAACTGACCTCGAAAGTGGAGACAGCATAGTGGTTCCCCTTCCTGGCGGTGACAACCGACACGAGGGCGCCGTCCTGGCTGACGATGGGAGTTCCAGCCATGTAGTGGTTGGCCGACTCGAAGCTGGGCGCGCACCGCCACTGCGCCAGCTTGCCGTCGCTCGATATGATGAGAAGACGTTTGGTACGGTTGATGAACACCTGTAGGTTACATCTACTGTTAACAACATATGCATGATGACTGGGGCCCTCATAGGACACTGCAAATTAAACAAGCATATGGCAAAACTAGGCCTACAGTTTTTATGAGCGGCACGACAAAAATCTGCAGATTCTTCCAAACTGAAGAGGAAACGCCACTACATCCTATGTGGTTGTAGCCCACACATGCATAAACGAAATACCTCCTTTGGAAAGTTTACACTCTTTCCCGAGGAGATAAAAACCATCGCTCCTAAGAATATCCTTCAATTCTTGTCCCTGACGAGTCTAGGTAGCGAACTCTGAAAAAGGGCGAGCACAATAGATCTATATAGGTCGCAGTGCTACAGGTGCTACAAACACCTGACAATAGCCCAAACTACCCAATAAAAAAATACACCCACTGTTATTTCAAGCTGTTATATCACTGATCCCGACCAGAACAGAGCCGTCTTTCACCTGTTAGAGGCCCTGGGCACTTTAGTATAATGACCATAGTAATAAAGCACTATTTTATTAAAATAGACAAAGTCATATATGAACATGACTCTTTAGATATATATGGGGGTACCTTACCTTCAAAACAAACCAGGCAATAATAATTTTTAAAACTCGTTATGTGATAAGGAGTTCAAGTTCTTGTTAGACATTTATAAAAAAATAACAAAAACGAACAAATTGACCATAGTCGGTAAGCATTTGTTACGACTGTTTTTCAGGCGAGAGTAGAGTAGCTATGGGTTATTGTTTGGTAAGGGAGTAGCGACTAGACTAGGGGGCCCCAACATCGCGGGGCCCTGGGCACGTACCCAGTGTGCCCAGTGGGGAAGAGGAGATTGGTCTAGACTCTTGTAGTCTTTATACGACATATTTTGTCTCATCTCTCTGAACTTCTAATTGACTAAGCTTCATAATACATCTCTAATAACCACCTTAGAAATTTTAGACTAGGGGAAAATTGGTCACTTTGAACTGTTGGGGCCATTGTAGTTATACCAAAAACCATTCACGTGCAACAGTTATAATTGCAGTTGTCATAGGATTCATGTGTAGTGGGTTTGTATACATTGGTGCAATATTAAGCATGTAAAATAATGATTAAAATGTATTATATAATGATTAAAATTATTCATTATCATAATATCAGCCCGGAAGACGTCCACTGCTGAACAAATGCCTAATTAAAATGTTTCATGTAATAAAATTATTCATATAATGATTAAAATTATTCATGTAATGATTACAATTATTCATATACTGATTAAATCATTAATTAATGATTACTTTTTTAACAGACATGGCTGTTAAAAAAGTATACATATAATGAAGCTCCAAAACAAGTGGCTAATATTTTGTGTCTGTAAGTACCTTCTCAGCGGTGTCCTGATCGAGGCGTACGTAGGCCAACTCCTCAAGTGGAGCCATCAGGTCTCGTGTGAACACGTCGCAATAATGGTGTGTGACTTTCGCTAATGTTTCAACCTGGAATATTCACACATATATACACAGCTGATATAAATACAATATTTAGTTTACAAAAGAGGGCCTGTCGCTCCATTTATGGTATGGGTTCCAGGGAGTCATTGCGAGAGTTTTAAGGAATCAAATATCCTCACCGTTGCTTCTCAATACATTTATGAAAATATCATCTATACCAGGAAAAATATAGACAGTTTCAAAAGAGTTAGTCATTACACCAATAAAAGCTTACGTAACAATAACAAACTGATTTTACCTAAATGTCGTTTGCCTAAAGTTAGTAATTCGTTTTATGGCAATTGCGTAAGGTTTTACAATAAAATACCAGAGTCTGCCAGCAAAAAGATTTAAATGTTAAATAAAACAGTTCCTTTGCAAAACAGCTTACTATAAAATTGAAGAATACGTTAACGATAATAATGTTTTTATAGAAAAACTTTAAATCCATAGCACTGACAATATTATCTGATTACATTAATAATGAGTGCGTAGCGATTTCTATGTTGATTATCGCATGCCTCTTACTTGTTATACTGTAATTATTTATATAAAAAAAAACATCTATTAAAAAGAGCAACACACAAGTTTCTTGTTCGTTCTTCTTGTGATGAATCTGCATTCCGAATGAGTGGTAGAATCAAAATATGACTATTCAAAAGTGCTTGTAATGAGTTTATTTGAATAAAGATTATTTCTATTTCTATTTCTATTACATCATTTTAGTCTTCGAGACAGTCATGAATTTATTAATACGCCATATAGACCGTGGCCTAGGGGCGGCAAAGTTGTTATTCTAGAAAGGTTAATACCTGCATAGAGGGTTGAATGGGATTGTTAGTAATGTGGACCCATGACCCCATTACTATCAATGTACCATGTCAGGTTGACCTCCACGCGGTTCCCCCTGGAAACCATCGTGATAAATTCCCGGTGAATTTGTCACGTTGGGCTAACTGATCTGACTTCATGCTCATCTTATCATCCTCCACTGGTGCCCCGCCAGCGTAAACCGTTAGCGCAGGCGGGTGCACCATTCCGTTATCATCCTTTAAAAAAAATACCTACATAGAGCGGCGGAAATAAAATGGCCTACACTCATCTGAAATATGTGACATCTCTCAGGCCTAGAAGCAGTGTGGGATTTCTATTTTTACTAGCTGTACACGAGACTTCGTCCGCGTGGAATATAACTTTATTTTTCTAAAATATATGTATCCTAAGTTACTCCTTATTACATCAGCTACCTGCCAATAAAAGTCCCGTTAAATCGGTCCAGTCATTAAAGAGATTAGCAACAAACAGGCAGATAGACAGACAGACAAAAATTGTAAAAAATGATATTAAAAAACACTTATTATATTTCAATATTACAAACAGACACTCCAATTTTATTTATATGTATAGATTAGCTGTGTCCAAAGTAAATCCTTGATGCATGATATTTACATGCATCAAGAAGAACACAGATGGTAAGTGACTACCGCTGCCCATGAGCACCCAACACCAAGAGAATTGCAAGTATGTTACCGGCCTTTTCATAAGGAATAAGCTCTTTTCTTCTATGTTCCCAAATTTCGTACATTCTATACGAAAGAGTGGTTCGGACGAAGATTCTAGTACCCTACTGACCTGTTCTGGTGTGCAGCAGTGTATGGGCACCACGCCACTGAACGTGGCATATCTGGTGCCGTCGGGCCGCTCATGCTGCTCCGCTGGGATCGAAAAATTCTCCACCAGACCCTTGTACTGCTCGTTCAGCGCCGTCCGCTGCGACATTGTCACCTGCAATTAATTACAATAAAAATTACAACTACAACCCTGGAGAATTCACACTTAGAGGGGAAAAGTTAGTAATGTGGACTGATGACCCGATTTTTTATGAATGATAATGCAATGATACACCAGCGCTTACGGTATACGCTGGCGGGGCACCAGTGGAGGATAAGATGAGCATGAAATCAGGTCAGTTAGCCCTGGCAAATGGCAATTTACCACGATGATTTCAAGGAGGTACCGTGTGGAAGTCAACCTGATATGGTACGTTGTTAGCAGTGGGGTCATCAGTGCACATTACTAACAATCCCCCCCCCCAGATCAGGATGACCTCCACGTTATTAGTTTCATGTCATGATAAACCATCGTGATAAATTCCTGGTAATTTTTTCACGATAAACATGAGTTCATCTTATCATTCTCCATTAGTGCCCCCTCAGCGTAAACCGCATGGTTGGTGCACTATTACATTATCATCCATAAAAAAAAACTACAGAGGGGAACGACCATCGTTAGTAATTTGAACAGTAACAACCAATAACCCTGGCCAATACACACGGCGCGCGGGGAATGGGATTCCTTGACTAACTACTCCATTGCTAGCAACGACCATGTCAAGTTAACTCGTACGTTCCAACTAGAAAGCATCATGATAACTCCCGATGAAAGTGTGTGAAAAGAAACCGGCTGAAAAAATGTAGATTCTTATGCCCAATTTACACTCAGGCAAGGAAGTAAGCAGCGCGAGAGTGGAAACACTTCCCATGCCATTGGCGCTGCCACTCGCGCTGCCCGGCGCACCCTCGATTGTCGGTTTTTCGTGCGCGAGTCAAAGGACTGGCAGCGCGAGTGGCAGCGTGCTTTTACATTCAGCCTTCTCGCTCAGTAGTCGCCCGGCAATATTTCCGGCAGCGCGAGTGACAGGGGAAGCGGCTGAATGTAAACGTAGCATTATGATGCCTTGGCTAGAAGTATTGTTTACAAGATAAAGAAGAAGCAATATATAAATGTACACATACGTTAGAGTTACTGTAGTTACACTTATTTGTTATTTATGTCTTGTATCGCCTGGTATGTAAGTTGTTATCGATATATCGGCTCGTTAGCCACAGCTCCACGTCCTTACTCAGTGGCGTTTGCGCGGGGAATATTTCCCCTCTTGCGCACGGTGGCCTGTGTACGCTCGGCGCGGGAGGTGCAGGTTCACTAAGGAGGGGCGAACCGGGCCAGAGGGGAAACCCAGCAGCCAAAAGTCCCCGTATCGGGCAGTAGTGGGATAGCGGCCGGAAGTGGGTGCTCAGTAACAGCCTGACCAACAAAATCAGACCCGTGTACGCTCGGCGCGAGACTGCAGATAATAAATCGCTAGTGTTTCCACATACACTACAGTTACCAACCGTCCTGTTTTCCCGGGACATGTCCTAGTTTTTGAAGTGTCCTGGTAAGTCCTGAATAGTTATTTGGTACTGTCCTGGGATTATAAAGTATGCGCGCCTCTTAATGACTGATTGTCAACAGTATAATTGTATCAAATACTTGTTATTACTGTACAATAACTGATTATATTAATTACTTGATATTTACTACATATTAATATAACTGTTGCAACACTATTACTGCGGTCTTTTTTTAGGATAGTCCTGGGTTTTTTTAACTTTCAATCGTGGTTTTTTTATTTTGGGCTTGGCAACATATCAATACTAACTTGGCTTCTGGTATCACAGATACCAGAAGCCACATTTTTATATACATACTAATGTACTAATAAATAAAATTGTAGTGTCTGTTGGTAATATAGAAATATCCGTTTTTTACTACATGCATATTAATATAAATACGGTACATACACCAAAATAACATTTTTTACAATTTTTGGCCGTCTGTTCCGGCTAATCTCTGAAATGGCTGGACCGATTTTGACGGGATTTTTTTTGGCAGGTAGCTGATGTAACTTAGGCTACTTTTATTTTAGAAAAAGAAAGTTAAATTCCACGCGGACGAAGTCGCGTGTACAGCTAGTTATGTATATAAACAAACTTCGAGAAACAAATATAAATATATATATATATATATATAGATATAAACAAATATAGTCACGAATACAAATGTTTGGATCATACCAGGAAACGAACCCGCGGCCATCGGAAATAAGGCTGTTTGCCGCTAGACCACTGAAGCCGTCAATGATTTATTTATACACTTTATTGCATCATCAGATACAGGAAAAGTTTAAATTAAATGAACCTATTTACATAATTGGCAAAATATGCAGTCTAATCGCTAAGATACCACAGACAATCACTGAATGGTAACAAGATATTGTATAGATAGTAAGTAGTTGGTAATAATTTGAAAGTATCATACCTTCCATAGAAAATAATAAAAATGTACTATCGAATAATTTTATGGTAAACTAGTTTCATTCGCATGAAATTTATAGCCATTTTAAACATATAGGCTTCTGATGTATGAGCTATATTATTGTAAAGTTTCATTAAAATTCATTCAGTGGTTTTTGCATGAAAGATAAACAAATATCCATCCATCCCATCCATACTCACAAACTATCGCGTTTATAATGTATACATATAAATAAAATTTGAATGTCTGTTTGTAATATTGAAATAACCGTTTTTGACTACATGCATATGAATATAAATACGGTACATACACCAAAATAACATTTTTTACAGTTTTTGTGTCAGTCTGTTTGTTCCGGCTAATCTCTGAAATGGCTGAACCGATTCTGACGAGACTTTTTTTGGCAGATAGCTGATGTAATAAGGAGTAACTAAGGCTACTTTTATTTTAGAAAAATAAAGTTAAATTCCACGCGAACGAAGTCTCGGGAACAGCTAGTATTAAAATGTAAAAGTATTTACCTCTCTCGAAATTAAGCTACATAGATCATATGTATTATAATTCTTTAGTTTTAATTTATATTTTATCTTTTCTTAATTTTATTATTTGCACTCCCGTGACCCACACACCACTTCCTGTGTCACGCGGTTTTGGGTTGACTGGAAGAGATCTCTTTTAGAGATAAGTCCTCCTTTGTTAACAAAACTTATAACGTATATTCAAAACTTGTATTTAAAAATGCAATAAAATATATATAATTATACATGGAAGTTAAAAAATAATAAAAACGTAATTCAGCCGTATCGTACACACTCTGTGCTTGATGTTCAACATAATTCTATAACTTTTTCTACTTATTTCTCTGTGCTCAAAACATGTTAATGTCGAAAGCAACCAGTTTATTTCTTGAGTGCAGTCGTTATTGTATATTACACAATATTGCATATATTATATTATTTGTTATTGTTTATTTTGCAGGAAATATATTTTATTTTCGTTAAAGAACAAGCGTATCATTTACAACTTACTCGCGTCGCTGCCTCTGAGTGAATGACGGAGCAGATGTAAACGGACTCGGAAATCGTACTGACCAAAGAGTAAAGTAAATATACCAAAAGGTACTGACCTAAAGAGGGAGCATCTTATCATAGTGATGTGTCAACTCGAGTTAACTCGAGTTGCGCATAATTCGAGTTAACTCGAGTTGAATTCTTGAGTTTGTTGAGTTGGAAGAATTCAACTGGTAAATGAATGAAACAAGTGAAAGAGCGAGATCATGATTCTGTCCTCGAACTGATTATGACATGAAATTTTCCGATTCTTAGTTTTTATTTAATGTTGTAACTAATCTTGAATAATGTTTAGATTATATATATTTAAGTTTGTTATTGACCAATCTTATTAGTTTGTAATTATTATTAATTATTGTCAATTTTTATGTTTACTTTATTAGTTTCTATCGTCGTCGTTGATCTCATATTGTATTATTTTACTGATAAAGGCTATAACAGAAAAGCAGAGAGGGTGGACTCACTGCCCTCACTGAGTTATAGACCGTTTTGTCTCATTCATTAGTTTTAAATTATATTATTGTATGGGCAACAGTTGTATTGTGTGAAATGTTTTTGCTTGAAACAAATAAAGATTATTATTATTATTATATATATATATATATATTATATATCTCCCTTTGATGGGGTAATAGACTTATCATTGCGGGTAAAAATCACCAAACAATGACAGTATAAATGATGAATGATGAGGATGGAGATTTTTTAAGCGGAAGACAAAAATTTGCGGATTATTCTACAAGTGTTTAGTATTACCTACCTTATTATTATTATATTTTTCACTCGTCACAAATATTGCAATATTGATTTGAGGTTGTTATAATATTTTTTCGCACATTCGTCCGATTATGTTATCAATAAAATGATTATGCGTTCTATAAGTCCTTCCGAGGCTTTAAAGTGCCATTTCTACTCGCCCCCTATAGTTCGGTGAAGCTTTTTTCAGTGAATTGTTCGAAAAAATAAAAAAAAAACACTTTTTATTCCAGTTAACTCGAGTCAACTCGAGTTAACTCGAGTTATGTTTATTACGAGTTAGCACATCTCTAACTTATCAATATATGTTACAATCGTATTTGTATGGACTTTAATGGAATGGTGCACTCGCCTGCGCTAACGGCACCGTTAGGGGGGGGGGGGGGAGGGGATTGTTAGTAATGGTAGTCCCCATCGCCAGCCATGTACCATGTTAGGTTGAACTCCACGCGGTTCCCCCTGGAAACCATCGTGATAAATTCTTGGTGAATTTACCACGATGGGCTAACTAACCTGAGATCGTGGTCATATTATGAGGCTGACGCAGTTGGAATCGAGCCACAAAGCGAGTTTCAAAGCGTTCGTGGCCCGGGTCCCCACCAACATGCTGCCCACCTTCATGAAGGAGGACTACTGGCCGAAGGGTGTGGTGTATCGGCGCTACCGTGGCAGATTGCCGTCGTCAGTGCCGTGACCATAGAGACAATTTTATTTTTCATATTTTATTATTATTTCTTATGTATGTTAGTTTATAAGGTATTTATAATATGGGCCATGTAGCCTGAATTAAATAAATAAATAAATATTATCATACTCCACTGG